ACCCCCCGCCGCATGGCTTCTGTACACACAGCGTAACAGCCAGAGGCCTGTGTGTGGCTTAGAAGGCACTCTCCACCAGGCCCCGTCTGACTTCCCAGCCCTCCCCTCCCTCACTGTCCCCAGCCACGCAGCCTCCTTGCTGACCCCAAAGGAGCCAAGCAGCTTCTACCTCAAAGCCTTTGCCTTAGCTTTTCCTTCTGGGAGGCTCTTCCCCCAGATATGTGCATGGCTCACTTCCCTCGGCTCAAAATCTCACCTCCTCGGAGAGGCTGTCCCTGGCCACGTCCACTGGGTCTTCCCTAGCCCCTTCCCTGGCTTTATTTCCCTTCATTGTGCTGATCACAGCCTGACACTACAAGGCATGTGTGGTTATCGATTATATCCGTCTCCCCTACTGGGATGTTGAGCTCCACGAGGGCAGGAGGATTTTCTGTGTGTCCACGGTGGGGTGGGGGGGGGAATTGGGGGCTGGTCGTCACAATGACAGAGGTCGGGGGTGCTGCTGGCATTGGGGGGGCGCGGGCCAAGGCTCCAGACAACCCCAGAAGGAGGACAGATTCTACATCCTGCTCGACATGAGTGAAAACCGTGTTTATAATTACCAGAGCCAAGACTCTAACTCCATCTTATACATAAACACAGAGGACTTGTGTATACACTTGTGTATACACATGACGTACACTGAATTTTCTGGGAAGGCAACTACTGTGTAAAGCCAAGGAAATTTGTACTTTGTTTTGTTCAGAACTTTACCAAGAGTTCACAGTTTCAGACGCTGACATAATATATCCCAGCATCGGTCTGCACTTGTAGCTGTCACCTTCCTGACAATTAATGACTTCACAAACACACAGCATTGCCCTGTATTTCTTTTATATTACAGGACAAAAAGATATGTACATTTTTAAGTTATATTATCTATAGTAATTCAATTATATAATTGTTCGATTTAATTATATATTAATTTTAATTAGAGGTGGGTCTATTGGCCATAAATTTCATTTCAGGAGCATACAGGAAGCAATTAGAAAATATCATGAAGGGAATTCCCTGGCAGTCCAGTGGTTAGGACTCCGCGCTTCCACTTCCGGGGGGCACAGGTTCAATCCCTGGTCAGGGAACTAAGATACCGCATGCCTCACGGCGCAGCCAAAAATAAAAAAGGAAAGAAAGAAAATATCGTGAAAAGGCAGCTTTGGGTCTGACAGGATGGAGAACCATGGCCTAGAGCTGCCCAGTGGAAGACTGTTAGGGAACATGGCTCTGAAGTTCAAATCCAGGCCCTCCCATTTACGTCCATGTGACTGCACACAGGCTACTTGACCTCTCTGAGCCTCACTCTCCTCCTCTGTAAAACGGGAGTCATGCCACAAACTACACAGGGTTAGTGGGAGGATCTGAAGTGTTGAGACGAGCACGGCGTTTAGCAAAGTGCCAGGTACCTAGAGGATACTCTGTATCCGTAACCGTTATTTACTCGGTCCGCAGACTTCCACAGCGCCTCTTCCCAGCAGCTGTCCCAGGTGCTGAGGGGGCCTTCAGAGGACTTTGCAGGTCTTGGGAGGCCTTGAGTGAGTCCCCTTCCTCCTCCACCCAAGACCTAGGCAGCCCCTGACCTCCAGGTGGGGTGAGGCCCCAGTGTCAGGAGCAGAGCAGCCAGGGCCAGCCCCAACCTGGGCCACTGGGGAAGGGGGCAGAGTGAGGCTTTGCCTTGAGCCCTGAATGTGCCAGGCCTCCCGAGGGCCCTCCCAGAGACTCTGGATCTCTCAGCCTTCTGACCACCCATTAATACCTGTCTTTCCTGTATGTCATCTTAGGAACACTCTGCACCTCCCAAGGTGACAAATCTTTAGTCACACAGGCAGACAGGAAGAGAGAAAGGCAACCAACAAATGGGCAGGTGGGCAGGCAGCAGGTCAGCCACAGGCCGACAGACAAGGAGGAAATCAGCAGGTGGACAGGTGCGACGCAAGCCAGGCAGGCAGGTGACATATATGCAGAGAGATCCCAGCCAGCATGACCAGAAAGCAGGTGGCTGGGCAGACCTACAGACAGGCTGGTGGGCAGGCAGAGGCAGACAGAAAAGCAGATAGGCTGGTGGCCAGGAGGGCATGGGGATGGGGGGTGATGAGGGGGGATGGCCCACATGGACCAAAGGCTTCAGGCCCTCTCCCAGGGCCTCGAGGAGCAGCCCCCAGCTTCTTTGAACCCTCCAGGGCAAGGCTGCCACTTCTCCCACCTGGCCTGGCCTGGCTTGGCCACGTGCATCCCCCTGGAGAAGGCAGCCCTCTGGGTAGCTCTCTCTGAGGGACCAGCAACCATCTCAAGCCCCACCCTGCTCCAACCCAGCCGTCTGCTTCACCAGGGCTGAGTCACACCTGACCCACTCCAAACACACGAGTCACACGCCAACCCAAACACAGGCACACCCTTGTCCATAGGTAGCGATACCCAGAGATCTGCATAGCACAGATGCGTGGAAACAGCTTAACACAAACACATCCAATATCTTAGAGCCCCTACTCAGAGAGGCAAGCACGTGGACCCACACGGAGACACAGGTATCTGCCATACAAACCGACGCACAGCATCCTCACACTCAGGGTCAGTTATACACGCACAGCCGCCGCACACACTGATGTCCATGTGGACGGGCAGGCATCCAACACAGTGCAACCCATGGAAACCCACAGCCAGTGGTCAGATTCCAGCCTCAGCTTCCCCTTGCAGTCCTGGCCAGGTCTTCCTCTCACCTCCCCGGTCTCTCCCGGCTGACGCCTCCTGCAGGAGACCTGCAGTACAGCATCCAGAACTCTCTTCTCTCCTGTCCCCTGGGTGACCTCAGCCACTCCCCGGTGTTCAATCCACCTTGTGTTGAGGACTCGCAAACACACTCCCAAGGCCAGACTCCTCCGGACTGCGCCTGCGTGTCTGACGGCTCCACCCAGATACTTACGGACCTCTCAAATCTAACCACCTGAAGTGAAACTTGGATCCCTAAATCCTGCTCCCCACCTGACCTTTCCTCAGGTGCTCAGGCCCAATACCAAGCAGCTGTCCTACATTCCTGCTTCCCTCACATCCTCATGCAATCCAGGGAGTCCTGCTGCCACTCCCTTCAGAATCTCAGCCTGGCTCACCTCCTCCACTGGCCATCCTGGTCCAAGCCCTCGGCCACTGCTGGCCTGGATGGCTGCCAGCCTGCTCACTGTTCTCCCCGCTTCCATTCTTCCCCTGCAGCCCCATCCTACCCTGAGCCCCCAGGGGGACCTCTCAGAAGTGCATCACAGAACCATGACGCCGTCCTGATGGAAACTCTCCAGGGGCCGCAACGGAAACTCTCCAGGGGCCCCAAGCACACTTGCGATAACATCCAAGCTCCTCCGCAGGCGCACCGGCCCCTTCACAATCACCCCATCACCCGTCCCCGTGCCTCGCTGCCCCAGGAGAGGTGCCCCCAGACGCTCCTACCTCAGGGCCCTCGGCCTCTTTCCTGCCCTGACGCTCTCCTCCGGATCCTGGCACAGCTGCCCGCTCTTCTGGATTCAAGCCTCTGCCCCGTGTCACCTGTGAGAGCTGCCCCAGGTGTTCCTCATCACCCTCCCCCACTCCATCGCCCTCTGAGCACTTAGGAGCACCCAAGACCATCTTCTTCCCGTACTGTCTCTCCGCCTTAGCGTCAGTTCCAAGAGGGCAAACATTTGTGTCTGTTCTGTTTACTGCTGAACCCCATTACCAGGAAGTGCTAAGCAGACCAGTTAGCATTTGTTGACTAGTGGCCGAATGGATTTATACACAGACATACCCACCCCACAAAAATGCTCAAGCAGATACAACACGAAGATAGACACAAATATACGAATATGGGTAGAAACACCTCCACACATGCTCACAAAACAGACTAAACAGTCACAGAGACATCAAGAGTCCCTTCCCCTCCCCGTGGGAGTCATCCTAGTCGCTTCCCTAACCAGATCTGCCCTCTGCTTGAACCCAGTCTCAGGACTGGGAGTGGGGGGTCTCCAGCCTGGACAGAGAAGGGGGTCACTGGCCCACAGGCCTCAGGCTGTGCCTTCAGCTATGTCTGCAATTTCCTCTCCCCCTTCCTTCCCTCCTCCTCTCTAAGGCTCCTGCCAAGAAGGCCTCCCCCTCACCCCATCCCAGCGCAGGAAGGGGGGCCCAAAAGCGGGGGCCTGGGAGTCTGGGCAGGAAGAAGACCCGGCTGCATGCTGATCACACACACACTGCAGGCACAAGCCCTGAGCCTGCGTGGAGATGCGTGCACGTGCACCAGCAGGTTTAGCCCAGAACCAAACACTCCTCTGCCCCGGTGCAGAAGAGCACAGGGGCCAGCGGAGGCCCCAGGCTCGGTTCTGCAAGGCTGGCCTGGGCCTGGCTTGAAGCCAGAGTCCAACATTCATTAACCCTGCGTGACCAGAGCTGGGCCAGCTGGCCACACTCACTGCCTGGGCCCTGGGAGGAGGGGATGAGAGCCCCGGCCCTAGATTGTGGCTGAGGGTCTGGGGGAGGGTTGGAATCTGAGCTAGGGAAAGGGGCAGTCTTCCCTGGGTGAGGGGGCCTCCTGGGAGGAAGAGCAAGGTTTAGGGAAGGGGTTAAGAGCCCATGGTCAGAGAACAGTGGATTCAAATCCTGACCGTCTGGGTTAAGTTATTCAATCCCTCTGTGACTCAGTTGACTCATCTGTCAAGTGGGGATAATGGTCCCCACGTTATAGGGTTGTTAGGATTAAATGAAAAAATATTGTAAAGGATCTAACACTGCCTGGCACCTAGGGAGAACTCCATCCTCATTATTATTGTTGTTATTAGCAGCCTGGGGGCGGGTTCCTGCAACCGGCCTCCCCAGCGGTTTCCTGTCGGGGAGCAGACGGCCCCTCAGGCCTCGGCCCCACCCCACCCCTCCTCCCTGCAGCCCTCCTCTCCCCTTCCTCTCCCGGCCCTTTTCCTCCCCGCCTCCCCCGCCCCGCCCCGCCCAGTCCCTCCTCTTTCCTCGGAGGAAACTTTCCGCCGGCTGGTCCATCGGCCCTTGTCCGGCCCGCGCTGCCGCGGCCTGGGATCCGAGCCGGGCGGGCAGGTGACCGGGACCGGACGGGGCGGGAGCGGCCGGGCCCCGGGTGTCTGCGGCCGCCGGACGCGCCGGGGCCGGGCAGCGGGGAAGCGGGGCGCTGACGGTGAGTGAGCCCGGGCCTCCGGGCCCGGGGGTCCCCGCCGGGCGGGCGGGATGGGAGCGGGAGGCGGCTTCCCTTCCCGGAGCCCGCCCAGGGAGTAAGGAAGGCGCCCGCGTCTCTCTCCTCCATCCCGATTCCCGGACGGCGAAAGCGGGCCTCGTTTGGGGAACCCACCAGGGGACGGAGCCTCCTGCGGCTCACTCCCCCGACCCTCAGGTGTTGGGGCGTCTGCGCCCAGAGGAAGGGTCCCCCAGCCAGGGCCCAGGTCGGCAACGAATTTAGGAAGCCGCTCTCTCCAGGGTGGAGCCTGGCTGGGGCTGCCCTTCCAGGGAGCAGAGCTGCCCCGAGGAGAAAGCAGGGTCAGGGTCGGCTCCAGAGGGGGAGAAGGGTCTGACCTTGCTGACCTCGCAGGCTGACAGGGGAGCTGCTCCCCCAGAGAAGCATGGATGCCCCCCGAAGGGACATGGAGTTGCTCAGCAACAGCCTGGCGGCCTACGCACACATCCGCGGTGAGGGCAGACCCCGGGACCTGGACCCCTCCCTGCCTCCTCAGGCCCCACTCCACCCCTTCCCTCCCCTCCTCCACGCCCCTGCCACTGTAACCACCCTCAACCAGTCACTTACTCCCAAACCGCCCCCCACTCCCCCGACTTCCCGATGGCGGCTACCTAAGGTCCCTCAAATAGAGGGTACTGTCCTTGCCCCCCAAACTTAGAACCTGGAGTCTTTTAGAGATGGGATGACTCCCACGCGCCAGGCCCCCTCCGTGACTTCTGCCCTCTGACCCCCAGCTAACCCCGAGAGCTTCGGCCTCTACTTCGTGCTGGGTGTCTGCTTTGGCCTGCTGCTCACCCTGTGCCTACTAGTCATCAGCATCTCCTGTGCACCCCGCCCGCGGCCCCGAGGGCCCACTCCGCGCCGGGACCCCCGCAGCAGCACCCTGGAGGCCGAGGACGACGACGACGACGACGACGATGAGGATACGGTGACTCGGCCGGGCCCTGAGGTGTCCACGGAGCCCGACGGGCCCCTGAGCGTCAACGTCTTCACTTCGGCGGAGGAGCTGGAGCGGGCGCAGCGGCTAGAGGAGCGGGAACGGATCCTGCGGGAGATCTGGCGCACTGGACAGCCAGACCTGCTGGGCACCGGCACGCTGGGGCCCAGCCCCACAGGCACGGGCACCCTGGGCCGCATGCACTATTACTGACCGGCCCCCAGAGCGTACTGGATATGCACAGGGGCTTCGAGCTGCCCCAGGACCTTTGGACTGCCCCTGCCCACGGTGCTATGGAGGCCCCGCCCCCACGGCTCCCCTGGTGCTGTTGGGCCTGGATTCCCGTCCCCTGGGAGACACCCTTCCCCCGTCCAGCCAGAAGGCCCTGGGGGTAGGGCAGGACGCAGGGTCCCCATCCCCTCTCTGGGGGACGGTTAAGAGGTGACGTGACCAATGAAAGCTGCATTCTCAGTGACTCAGTCTCCCTCTGTTATCCTTCCCCCAATGACTCCCAAGCTCTTGCCATGCAGGGGGCCCCAGGGCTGAGACCCCTTTACCAGGCTGACCACCTCCTTCCACCCACCCGACGCCTCAGCACACATGCTTGCGTTCAGTTCACACATGGCAAAAACACACTCCTGCACCCACACTCCACCGCCTCACCACAGGCGCGCACACACAAAAATCAACCGCATTCCTTACAACTGCATTCCTTACCGTGAAACGCCCGGGTACACGTTGCCCCTGTCCCTACAAATGCCCTCGTTTTCTGCATCATTGCAATCACACACACGCGCGCGCACGCACACAAGGCCTCGGAACCCTAACCTTGACGCTCAGGCGCTATTAGGCCCAATGTAACCTGGGGTGCCTGAGCTGGCCTGTGGAGTTCGTGTGTCACTGCGTTCCAGAGCGGACAGTGAAGGCAACTGGGAGGGTTCCGGGCTGGAGAGCCCTCCCCTGGCGCACAGCTGGATTCTGGAATCCGGCCCCCGGGCAGAGGCCCGACCCCTCCTGGGCCCCTCCTGCCGGCCATTTCTCCAGCGCGGGGACTAGCGTCCGAAGGAGACACCCTCCCCCCTCGCCATCCGGTGGATAAAAATAGCCATGCGCAGGCCTTGGGAACGGTAATGGAAGCCACATGTTGGCCAGATGTGCCCAGGAGCGGCTGCCAGGAAAGCGGAGGGACGGGAGCGCAGAACGCCAGCCCCGCCCCGCCGCGCAGACCCCGCCCTGCAGGGACCAGGGAGGCGTGGCGCGCGTACACGGCAGAGTTTACTTTCTTGCGTTTCCCAAAATCGTGTGCAAGGACGTGGGTGGCCGGAGCCCGACTTCGCTCCAGGTCCCGCCGTAGTCCCTCCCGGGCCCACCCTCAGTGCGTCTGCGTCTGCGCGTGGATGGAGCCCAGGTTCCGGGACTCCTGGGTCCTCCGTGTCATCTGAACCTAGTGGAGAGAGGGCGTCTGGGGAGTGCCAGCCACCCACCCCCACCCCACCCCCGCCCCGCAGGGGACCCGCACCCCGCCCACCTCCAGCAACACGCGCTTCTCTCTCTCGCTCTTCAGCTCCTCCCAGATGTCAGTCAGCTTCTTTCTGCGGACGCGAGACCGAGGGGAAGGGGTGGGCCGGGCAGGCCTAGAGCCCGCACCCCTCTCCTCCCCTCCCCGCACCCCTCCCCACTTACTCCAGCTGCACCCCCGTCAGCTCCAGCGACCTCCTTAAAGCCTCCACCTCGTCCTTTATCCTCATCATGTCGTCTCTGTCACTTTTGCTATCTGTGAGATTTTGCGGGGCCGAGGGGTGGAGGGTGGGAGTCATTTGGGGCTCTGGAGTCAGCACGATAGGATGTGGATTCTTCTGAGCAGGGGATACCTCTTCGGGGGACACCTCCTCTTTGGGGGTAACCTCATCCTTCGCTGGTGCCTCCTCCAGGAGAGTGGTAGCCTCTTCCCGGAGGTGGGCCTTCTCAAGGGCAGGCGTAGACCCTGACTTGGACGCGGACTCGGACTGGAGAGGGGAGCTGTCCCTCTTATCCAGGGGACGTTTCACCGTGCAGAGGGGATGCTCCTCTGGCATGTGAACCTCCTCTTGGGATTGAGCCCCACTGGCCCCAAGAGACCTGGCGTTTAGCAGGGCTTCCTCCGGAGAGAAGTGATGGAACTGAGTGTTGTCTCGGGTGGAGGCCTCTTCAGAGAGCACCTGTTTGGTGCTCAAGACCTTTCCTAGGGTGTGGGCCTCGTCCCCAGGAGGAGCCATCTTTGGACCAGGTGGGACTTCTGGGACCGGGACCTCATGCACAGAAAAGACCCTGTCTGGTCTGGGGGCTTTGTCCTCCAGCGTTGAGGTCTCCTCTAGGATAGGGACCTTATCTGAAGTTAGGCATTCCTCTGGAGTGGGGGCCTTATCTGGAGACAAGGTCTTCTCCGGGCTGCGGGCATTGTCCAGAGATGAGGTCTTCTCTGGGCTGCCGGCCTTATCCGGAGATGGGGTCTTCTCTAGGCTGGGGGTCTTGTCCAGAGTGGGGGTTTTATTCACACGAGGGGCCTTTGTAAGGCTGCTCTGCTCTTCGCCCTGTGGGGATGGGGGTGAGGTCGCAGCCGAGGGCTGGGTACCTGGACAGTTTGAGTTTGGTTCCCCTTGGCCTGGGATCCTTCACACCACACCCCTGAGAACCAGACTCTGCCCAAGATCCCCACTCTCCCATGTCTTAGGCCTCTCACCTGACCGGCTGCAGAGTGTTGCTGTGAAGCCTGGGTTTGGGCTCGCTTTCTGCCACTCTGGCCTGGACACCCACTGAGGAAACTGCTGCTGGAGCCTGTGAGAGCAGACCCTCAGGGGCCCGGGCCTACTTGGACCCCAAGCCTCTCCCCATCTCTGTCCCTCAGCACAACACCCCAGGCCTCACCCCACTGCAGGGAGGCATCGACACTTACTGCAGTTTCGGGAAGGGCGCTTCTGACTGTCTCCACTGGGTGTCCAAGATGGCCTGAAACATTTCTCCATCAGAACCGGGGATGGGGGCAGGGAGCAGCATTTCTTCTGTACCCTCCTCTTTCCCCCTCCGCCACCCTGCTCCTTACTTGGCTTCGCTTGGCCCAGTCGGGGCTGTCACCAGCTTCTGGACCGTAGGGAGGGCTGTTCTGGGCATCATCTTCTTGGGTTCCTTAATAGGAGCTGGGAGGGGAGAGGGGAGTGGGGCATTTGTTCACTCATCCATTCACCTAAGAGTCACTGTGCTGTGCACAGGGGACTAGTGACAGGAGATGAATTATATTGGACCCTGCCTCCTGGGAGCTCTGGGGACATTGACCATGGGAGCACCCCAAAGAGTCCTCAGGGAAGGCTTCGTGGGGAGATGGCTCCGAATCCTGCCGGTTTTTAATCCATGCTTTTCAAAGACCTGTACTCGGCTCAGTGCCCATGGCTGGTTCAGACGCTTCTCCTTCCTGGACCAAGGCAACATCCTTCCCCCTTCCAGTCCACACTCCCTTCTGTCTTCTCTATCACATCTACTCCCTAAGAGATCTCACCCAGTCTTACGGGTTTTATTATCATCAATAAGCCAACAACTCCTAAATTTTCATCTCTAGCCCCTTCCTCTTCTCTGAACTCCAGACTCACACCCGACAGCCCTCTCAATATTTCCACTTAACTTAGCATCACACACTTACCATAGCCAGAACTAAACTCTTGCTTCCCAACCTCCTTGCCCTCAGAATCTGCCCCTCTCCCACTGCTCCCCATCTCGCCCACTCACTCAGACGACAAAGTGAGGAGTCCTCCCTGATGCCTTTATTTCCGTATGCTGCACATGCAAACCATCAGTAAGTCCTGTCTGCTCTAAACGCATCCTGAATCCAGCCACTCATCCCCACCTCCACCACGAAGCACTCTAGATCGAGTCACACCGTCTTCACTAGGACTGTCGCAGCAGCCTCCCACCTGGGCTTGGGCTGCACCCACCCTGCTTACGGTGTGCTCTCCCCACAGCAGCCAGAATGAGCTCAAGTTCTACTGGGGAAGCAGACATAAACAAAAGGAGTAAACTGTGTAGTGTGTTAGGGATTTATTAGTAGTACAGAGGACAAATAAGCAGGGGAATGTATGATTTTAAATGAGATGGTCCTGAGAAGGCGACATCAGAGTGAGCATCTGAAGGCAGTCACACAAGTGACATTCATATCCACGGACACAGGAACAGCTACTCTGGCACACGCACACATGCTGAAATTGACTTGCACACACTATCACACACAGATACAAACAAAATTCCCTGACTGTGGGTCGCAGTGGGCGAGAGCATGGATCCTATAGCCAGACAGCAGACTTGGAATTCCTGCTCTATTACTCACTAGTTGTATGAGAACTTGGTTGGTAATTTAACCTTTCTGTGCCCTCATGTCCTCATCCATAAAACATGGATAACAAGAATACACATCCTGTAGGGCTGTTGTGAGGTTTGAGTGACTTAATCCACGTGAGGGGCTTAGCGTCTGCCATATAGTCAAAGCTCAGTAAATGTTAACTTTGACTCCTGCTTCTTGTAGTGTGGCTGATCGGGTGCTCTGTGGGGGCCTCCCGCTAGAGAGCAATTATATCCTGCTTAGAATACAATTTTAAGGCACTGTTGGACATAAAAGAGGTAGGAGAAGCCCACAAAAAAGGGAGGAACTGGGGCCAGAAAGGAAGTGAGAGGGCAGCACGACTTTGCGGCTACAGAGCCTGGGGCCAGTGATGAGGAGCAGGTGCCCCATGTTCTGCTCCTTTGGCTCATCACAGGCCCAGAGCTCGGTAGCCAGACAGCAGCGAGAGCCTTGCACCACCTTCTTCCAGACGGCGGAAGTGGTCTCCGGTGGTTGGTGCCCTCTGGCTACTAGCAGAAGTAAAAGCGAGTCCTCGCCGGAAGAAGTTTTCCCCTACAGAGGTGTACAGAACTCCCCCACACTGAGATCATACACAAAGATCCTAAAACACACGAGAGGGCAGGCCACTGAGAGCAGGAGTCAGCAGACGCAACACACAGCAGATACTGGAAGTGTCAGGAAAAGAACACAGCATAGCTACATAGAGTATGTTTGAAGAAATAAAGGATGAGCATGCAACAAAAGACCATTAGGAATAAACAGGGAGATTTTACAGGGGAAAAAAAAAGAATTCTGTACTACTAGAGATGATAAATAGCATATATGAAATAAAATGCAATGTGTAGGTTAAACAGCAGATTAAACCTAGATAAAAATCTAGAGAGAGAATTAGTAAACTAGAAGTAGAATGAGACAAGGAGTGAAAATTTGAAAGCAATGTTCAAAGGAAGAGGTAATAGAAGCAGGGTTTGACTATGGCCGAGTGAGGTAGGTGGTGGTTAAATACTCTGTCCACATAGCAACTATGAAGCTGGATAAAAATGGCAAAACAACCATTTCAGTGCTTGGATACTGACCAAAGACATAAAATAATTGGAGAAGCACTTGTGCTTGACAGCGTTCTTGCCTGCTCCCATCCCTCCCCCACCCCCTACTGCCTTGGTCCATGTGGATGTTCTGCAGGGTGGGATAGGTGGAGGATGAACAGCTTTACTGCCATGGTTGAAGAGAACTCAATCAATATGGGGTGCAGGGCTTCCCTGGTGGCACAGTGGTTGAGAGTCTGCCTGCCAGTGTAGGGGACACGGGTTCAGGCCCTGGTCTGGGAGGATCCCACATGCCGCGGAGCAACTGGGCCCGTGAGCCACAGCTGCTGAGCCTGCGCGTCTGGAGCTTGTGTTCTGCAACACGAGAGGCCGCGACAATGAGAGGCCCACGTACCGCGATGAAGAGTGGCCCCCACTCGCCAAAACTAGCGAAAGCCCTCACACAGAAATGAAGACCCAGCACAGCCTAAATAAATAAATAAATTTATAAAAAAGAAAGGCTTCCTCATCAGTCCTTTACACGTGTGTATGAATAAGCATCAAATCAACAGTTTAATCTCTCAGGACCATTTGCATTAAAAAAATATATATAGGGTGCAACCTTGGATTTGGCATTGGTTTCATTGATATGATACCAAAAGCACAAGCAACCAAAGAAAAAATAGGTCAGTGGGACTTCATCAAGATTTTAAACTTTTGCGCACAAAGGACAGCATCAAGAAAGTGAAAAGACAACCCAAAGAACGGGGGAAAATATTAGCAAATCATACATATGATAAGGGCCTTTTATCTAGAAAATATAAAGAACTCCAACAACTCAACAGTAAAAAGTCAACCCAATTAAAAAATGGGCAAAGGACTCAGATAGATTTTTTCAATATCATTAGCTATCAAGGAAATGCAAAGCAAAACCACAATGAGATAGCATTTCATACCCACTAGGATGGTTACAATCAAAAGACAGATAATAACAAGTACTGGTGTGAATGTGGAGAAACTGGAGCCCTCATACACTGTTGGTGGGAATATAAAATGGTGCAACCACTTTGGAAAACAGTCTGCCAGTTCTTCCCAAAGTTAAACCAGAGTTATCATATCACCTAGCAATTCCTTTCATAGGTATATACCCAAGAGAAATGGAAACACGTCCACATAAAATCTTGTACACTAATAAAGTTCATAGCCAAAAAGTAGAAACAATCCAAATATCCATCAACAAATGAATGGAAAAAGTGATACAATAGAATATTACTGGGCAATAAAAAGGAATGAAGTACAACACATACTACAAAATGGTTAAACCCTGAAAACATTATTTGACGTGAAAGAAGCCCATTAAGAAGACCATATATTGTATGATATCATGTATATGAAATGTAGGCAGATCTATCAAGACAAAGTAGATTAGTGGTTGTCTTGGGATGAGGAGGGGAGAATGGGGAGACTGGTGGGGTAATGGCTAAAGAGTACAGTGGGTGACGAAAACATTCTAAAATTGATTGTGGTGGTGTTGCACAACTATGACTCTACTAAACACCACCGAATTGTACATTTAAATGAGTGAATTGTATGGTATGTCAATATATCTCAATAAAGCTGTTAACCCCCATTCCCCAAAAAAGATGGCAGGCCAGATTTGGCCCACAGACCATAATTTGCTAACTCTTAACCTAAACACCCCAATAAAAGGCAGAGATTGTCAAACTGAATTTAAAAAGCAAGATCCAGCTATATACTGTGGACAACAAAGACACAAATAGGTTGACAGTAAAAGACTGGAGAAAGATATATCACATAAATAGTAACTATAATAATAACCATATATTAATATCAGACAAAACAAACTTCAAGATGAGAAAAATTACTGAAGACAAAGAGGGAGAGGTTATAATGATAAACAGGTAAGCACATCAGGAAGGGATCACAATGACAAATATACATGTGCCTAACAACAAAACCTCAAAATATATAAAGCAAACACTGACAGAATTGAAAGGAGAAATAATTCAAAAATAATAGTTGGAGATTTTGTTCAGGAGAAAGGTTAAGACGGAATTTAGACTTGTTAAGTTAAATATACATGGCAAATTTCAAGAGCAACCACTAAAATAATAACAATAAAGTGTACTAATTCTAAATTAATGAAAAAAGTGAAATAAGAAAAAAAGGAGAAAATAAACATTTAAAAATATTGTAAAATAATTATGATTAATATAGTCTAAACTCATCAATTTATCACCAAAGAAAAAGACTGACAAACTAGAGTAAAAAAACAAAGGTGAGAGGGCAGACAGCAGAAGCAAGAAGAACTACAATCCTGCAGCCTGTGGAACAAAAACCACATTCACAGAAAGATAGACAAGATGAAAAGGCAGAGGGCTATGTACCAGATGAAGGAACAAGATAAAACCCCAGAAAAACAACTAAATGAAGTGGAGATAGGCAACCTTCCAGAAAAAGAATTCAGAATAATGATAGTGAAGATGATCCAGGACCTCGGAAAAAGAATGGAGGCAAAGATCGAGAAGATGCAAGAAACGTTTAACAAAGACCTAGAAGAATTAAAGAACAAACAAACAGAGATGAACAATACAATAACTGAAATGAAAACCACACTAGAAGGAATCAATAGCAGAATAACTGAGGCAGAAGAATGGATAAGTGACCTGGAAGAAAGAATGGTGGAATTCACTGCTGTGGAACAGAATAAAGAAAAAAGAATGAAAAGAAATGAAGACAGCCTAAGAGACCTCTAGGACAACAT